AATGTATTTTAAATATTGACATTTAAATAGCAGCTATGTCAATCTTTTAAATGTGTCCAACTGAATCTAAATGGTGCTCGCAGTGAGCCGAGACCTCGCCACTGCACTCTAGCCTGGGCGATAGAGCAAGACTCCATCTCAAAATAAATTGTGCATCAATTTGATACCCACTTATCACCCACTTAAAAATATATATGAACAGACTTTTTTCTTTTCTTTTTTTTTTTTTTTTACAAACTTTGTATCATTCCTTTTTCTCTTTAAAATTGTATTTCCATTTCCCTTCTCATTCCAAATTTTGCATAATGTGTTACATTTTGTATTTGGATAATCTTATGATCACCTATTTTCTTTGTAACCAAAATAGGTATATAAGTTGAAATTAATTAAAAATTTTCCTGTGACCAACAAACTTGTAACTATTCACATTTTTCTTCTGGGTTATCATTGAAGTTACTAGGATACAGTTTTCCAAAGCAATGTAAATAACACATTTGGATAATTGCTTTAAAAATTTTATTGGTGAATAGAGCAATCCCTCCCCTCCAATTGGTTTGTATATCCTTGGGTGAATATTATTTATTTCTACAATGGGACAAGATTAAGCATAAATTCTGTATTCATTTTGCACTTTACAGATGTCAACACTGAGAAAACTTGTTTGTGTAAATAAGTGGACATGAATGGAAGGAGTTTTGTTATAACAGTATCATTCATTTCTATGACTCCTTCTGAGATATGTAGGAAAAAAGTACAGTAATATACCATTAAAATTATGTTATTTGGCAGTTTCATTCAATCAGATCCATTATTTTTCAATTTTATTAAAAGCAGAGAATTAAAACCACTTGACTTTCAAAAATGAGTTTACGAACCAGTCATCAGGTTCATCTGTTTTCTCAATTTATGAAAAGTGTACCAAAAAGTTTTTAAAATTAATTCCAACTATGTGTTACACTTTCACGTGGAGGTATCTTGTTTAAACTAATACATTCAGAAAAGTTTGGAAAAATAGAATATTATTAATACATTATTATTAGCATTTTATGTTTTAAATATATGATTTAAACATAGCAAACCTCTGAGCTACCTCAAAGGTTGAGTAGATTTTGTGAAGAATGTCCTTCATACAACCCATTTGGTAATGCCAGGCATCAAACAAATGACACTTAATTTCTGGCAGGAAAACTCGGACTTCATTTTTCAAGTCACTGACTATATTAATAATATGTGATTTAAAACCTGAGAAACAAATGACAGAACAAATGCATGGAGGTATGTTTATTATGAAGCCAATGAAGCATATCCAGAGCTCCTTCCTTCCAAGGTTCCTTTCTAATTTTACATAGAAAATTATGTACTTTCATGTATAATTTTGTATTATTTGTCATAATGAAAGCCTGAAAAAAAAAGACTTCAAATTATATAAGCTTTGGGACCTGTATCTCTGCCTATACATGTGAAAAAATCATGAGAGCAGTCAGGATAAGCTTAAGATGATACATATCTGGCATAATTAATTTCATATTATGAAAAGATAATTTCTCATTACTTAATTTGCAATAAATACAGAGTAAAATATGACTAAGATTATAACTTATGAAGTGTAGGGTATGTGGTAAAAGACATGGTTATTCCTTCAGTAAATGTGTTAGGGGAAGGTAGGAAGTGAATACTGATGTATGACTTTGGGGAATAATTAGAAGCAACTTATATGAAAATCAGAAATAACTTGTTTTTCATCATGATCAAAATTTTCCTATGTATTTAATGAAAACAAAAAATATATACTGCTAAAATCAAATCAGGCAATTAGCATATAGTTTTATTTTTATATTTGCAAGTAGAATAAATATACAATGCAATGAAGTTCATTAAATTTTGTGTAAATATTTTGGAATATGAGTTGATAAAATAGGTTTTAGCTAACTTAGTGAATAATAAACACTGTCTTAGTGCTTTTATGCTGCTATAACAGAATACCTGACAATGGATAATTTATAAAGAACAGGAATTTATTTCTCACACTTCTAGAGATTAGGAGTCCATGAAAAAGGTGCTGGCAGGTTCAGGCATCTGGTGAGAGCTGCTCTCTGCTTTCCAAGATTGAGCCTTGCTGCTGCATCCTTCAGAGAGGAGGAACGCCACGTCCTCACATGGACAGAAGTGGAAGGGCAAGAGGGGCCAAATGCTGCATGAAGCCTCTCAAAAGGGCCTTCATCTTATTCATGAGGGAGAAGCCCTCATGGCCTAATCATCTCTTAAAGGCCCCACCTGTTAATACCATCACATTGACACCCTGAATTTTGGAGGAGACACATAGCAAACACTAAATCTGAAGTCTGAAAGAACTCACATAATTTTTATTCACAGGATTTGGCCCATCATATCATTTTTTTAAAAACTCAATTTCATTTAAAAGAAACTTTGTTATCTATATTGTTTTTCTTGTTCAAAAATGCTCTTTTGTTTTAAGCTAACAATATGTTATGGCATGTCCTAGGGGTTGATGCTAATAACTAGGAGAAAACAGTGCCTCTGCTTAAATGTTTTAAAAAATTGGTGAAACAGGATTTTGGACTCCTAGAGGATCCTTATACTCTTTTTACTACAGAAGTACCCATCGGATGATCTTCGTACATTATTCTTCACCTTGTTTGACGACCTCTGTACTAGTCATGAGATAAGGATGTGACCTAAACTGTAACAATGGGTTAGGAGACTGATTTGAGATATTTCTAAGCTATACTCTAAAGGGACTTGGTGGGTCATTAGACACTGGAGTGAAAGATGAGTCAAAAATAATTAAGATTTTCAGCTTGAGCAGTTAAATAGATTGTGATGCTATTTACTGCATAAGAAACATAAAGTAATCAAGTTTTGGAAAGAGGTTGGAATTCTGTTTGCCTGTAGATCTTTAATGTGGAAATGTTCTGAAAGTCTGGAGCACTAAAGAAAGTTCAAAGATATGGTTATAAATTTGGGAGACTTTAGTATATAGGTGGATGATACTATCTAAGGGAAAGCTTTTAACCAAGAGAGGAATAAATCTGATGATGAGACCTTGGGAAACCTTCAATTTAAAAGAGGCAGAAAAGAGTAGTGTTGGAAAAGTATAATGGAAAACAAAATCTCCCAACCCAGGAAACCTTTCCACAAAGATAGAAGAGAAGGAAAACAATTTTATGATTGAGTAAGCATTAGAGCAGGATGTGATGTGTATCACAAGTAGTCCCCTAAGAGATTGCAAAGACAGAAGGAAATCTTACCCTTTTATATAGCCAACCTGATATAACAATCCCTTTCATTGACGTTCTTAGGATAAACATTAACTAGTCCTCAAGTAAGACTTGACAGCACTATTTGTCGCATACGTAGTTTATTCTAAATTCACTTGCTAATTGGAGTGACTTTGCTAATTGGTTTTATATAAAGGTAAAAAAACACTTTTCATATCTTCATGACAGGAGATAGTTTTGCAGCTTGGAAGGAGGCTCCCGCTGAAGTGAGGCTTCTACGCTCCCACAGAAACTGGGATTAAGGGCGCTATCTTCCTTGATGACTGTATTCCCAAGAGATGGTTACAGGTTCTTGAGAAAGACATTCATGGGTCATTCATGCCATAAAGCTAGCAAGAGGCTTTGAAACAAGAGATTTTTAAAAGATTTACATACATTTCAAAAAGATAAAGAATTTACAAGTTTTCTGAATGCTCTAAGAACAAAGAAGGAAGAGTCTTTCTTCTTATTTTCAACAGGGGGAATTAATTTTGTTTCTTTTTAAATTTGTATTTACCCTTACATAAGTGATAGAACAGACAGAAAAAAACAGCTGTGGAAATGTGCGGGAAATTACAATGAGTGCTATATGAAAACCAGAGGAAAAGCATATTTTACAAGGAGTGAGGGAATAGTGCTGTCTTCAAGAACATTACTTTCCCCTTGTCGGATAAAATTAACATACATTTGATACTAACATAACTAGATATGTAAAATTTGTAAAGACTAAATATAAAAAGAATATAGCATTAGGGTGTTTAATTATGTAGTGTGGACTGCCAGTACTATAGGAAACCTATGGCCTGAGGGCAGTAAGACCTGGAGTAGGCAGGGAAGGATTTGTGGAAATAAGGAAACTTAAATGGTATTTTGAAGGAGAGATTAAACCTATGTAATTCACATTTTTAATCTCATCAGTCCAAAACACATCTCTGTAGCTGTGTCTATAATAAAGATAAACTTAGCAATGGAACCATGATACTCCCAGTCCACTGGGCCAAAACTTTCCCTTGGATAGTGTTAATGCTTGAGTGAACAATGGCACCATTTCTGTGACTTTTCACTTTCTGTATTCCTTCTCATAGTCACCCCCTCTTCTGATTAACAGGTTTTTTCTTTTACAGCTTTAAGTCTTGCCTTGGAACCATTTTTTGTTTTTTTTCTGCAGGATATTTATATGGATTCATTTAAAGCTTAACTTGCAAAGGGCAGCTTATTTTCACTTCTTAGAAGGTACCCTGTAGTTAACCTTGGTGCTGTCTATAGAGACAAAAATAAATTTCTTTGGATTTTAGTTATCTTTCTATGTCAGAGGTTCCCAAGACCACCCCCAGGTTGACGATTTGCTAGGAAGACTCACAGGACTCAGCATATATCCATATTCATGGTTATGATTCATTATAGGAAAATAACACAAAGCAAAATTAGACACTCTGCCTGGCACATACTAAACTTACAGACTCCCAGAAGAAAAGTAGATGTTAGTATAAACCGTATTATTTGCACAAATAATCTAGGCATAGTGAGTCACTCTTATTCAGGGAATTGTGGAATCCCTCCTGAAATCTAAGCTCACAGGTGCCAGGCAAAAAGGCCCTTTTAATCATAGAAGTCTCAGGCCTGCTGTGATAACTCTTTTCTCTACACTTTTTAAAAATTTATTTATACAATGATTTGCAGGTAAAATCAAGAGTCCACATATCAAGTTAACTGTCTTTTAAGTGTTCTTCATATATTACAGGTATGCTCCAGAATCACTGACAGAGAGCAAGTTTTCTGTGGCCTCAGATGTTTGGAGCTTTGGAGTGGTTCTGTATGAACTTTTCACATACATTGAGAAGAGTAAAAGTCCACCAGCGGTCAGTGTGCTTTTTATTTACTTTCAGTTTTTTGTTTGTTCGTTTGATTTTTATAAATTATGGGGTACAATTACAATTTTGCTACATGCATACATTGCATAGTGGTGAACTCAGAGCTTTTAGGGTATCCACCACCTTAATAACATACATTGTACCCTTAAATAATTTCTCAGCATCTACCCCACCAATGACTCACCCTTCCAAGTCTCCATTGTCTGTCATTCCACATTCTACGTCCATGTGTATACATTATATAGCTCCCACTTATAAGTGAGAACATGTGGTATTTGTCTTTCTATGGCTGATTTGTTTCACTTAAGATAATTACCTCCATCCATGTTGCTACCAAAGACATAATTTCATTTGTTTTTATGGCGGAGTAGTAGTCCATTGGGTATGTATACCACATCTTCTTTATCCAGTCATCTATTGATGGACACTTAGGTTGATTCCATGTCTTTGCTTTTGTGCAGAATGCTGCAATAAACATACAGGTGGAGGTATCTTTTTGATACAGTGATTTCTTTTCCTTCAGGTAGATACCCCATAGTGGAAATGCTGGATCAAATGGTAGTTCTACTTTTAGGTCTCTGAGGAATCTTTATGTTTTCCATAGAGGTTGTACAAATGTACATTCCCAGCAACAGTGTATAAGAGTTCCCTTTTCTCCACACCCTTGCCAACATCTGTTATTTTCTCTCTCTCTCTTTTTTTTTCTTCCCATTCTGACTGGAGTAAGACATATCTCACTGTGGTAATTTTTTTCTCTTTTTTTTTTTTTGTCATTCTGACTGGAATAAGGCATATCTCATTGTAATTTTAATTTGCATTTCTCTGGTGATTAGTGATTAGCATTTTTTCATATGCCTCTTGTCCTTTTGGGTGTCTTCTTTTGAAAAATGTCTACTGATCTCCTTTGTCCAGTTTTTAACATGATTACTAGGGGGTTTTGGTTGAATTCCTTGAGTTCCTTATAAATTCTGAATGGTAGTTTCTTATCAGATACAAAATTTGCAAATATTTTCTCCTATTCTGCAGGTTTTCTGTTCATTCTGTTGATTATTTATTTTGCTATGCTGAAATTTTTTAGTTTGATAAAGTCTCATTTGTCTGTTTTTGGTTTTGTTGCCTACGCTTTTGAGGTCTTTGCCATTCTTTGTTTATACCCATTTCCATAAAAGTTTTCCCTAGGTTTTTTTTTCTAGTATTTTTATAGTTTCAGATCTTACATTTAAGTCTATAATCGATCTTGAGTTAATTTTTGTATACGGTGATAAATATGGGTCCAGTTTCATTCTTCAGCATATGGCAATCCAATTTACCAGCACCATTTATTGAAAAGGGTGTCCTTTCCCATACTGCCCAAAGCAATCTGCAGATTCAATGCAGTTCCTGTCAAAATGCCAATATCATTTTTCCACAGAATTAGGAAAAACAATCCTAAAAGTCACATGGAACCAAAAAGAGCCCTAATAGCAAAAGCAATTCTAAGCAAAAAGAACAAAGCTGGAAGCATCACATTACTTGACTTCAAATTATATTATAAGGCTACAGTAACAAAAGCATCATGGTACTCATATAAAAAACAAACACATAAACCAATGGAACATAATAGAGAACCCGGAAATAAAGCCACATATTTATAGCCAATTGATCTTTGACAAAATTGCTTGAGTCCACTCAGACCCCTGTTTGCCTGGGTATCAGCAGTGGAGCTGCAGAAGATAGACATATTGACTCGACAGCG